AAATTCAAGTTTTCAGAGTTTTAGTGTCAGTACTACATTAAAACTGCTATATATGTTGAATATAATGTATAATAATGCAATGGGGGGATATTTGTGGGTCCAAATGTCTTATGTTACCAGTAAGAAGTGGCCTACATTATTTTAAATATATCTAGTCAGTGACAGAGTGCAAGCATTCGTTTAAAATAATTCTGTATTTTCAGCTTCAGAATCATGAATATTTTTATTCTGGTGTCACCATTGTCTTGTGCAGTGGGCTATCAGCACCAAGTCCAAGCCTATTCATTTCCACACCCAATTAGGCATGTGCCGGTATCAAATTTTCATGCTGCGATTAATTGATTGAGCTTTTATCACGGTATACGGTATTATCACGATATTTTAATTGCACAAGAGAAACAGACGGATTGGGGGTATCTAAAAAAAACTTGCATCACAATGTGTAATTGTGATTGTCAAAACATTAATTTTATTTTTTAGTGACAACATGTTATAATGTTTACATGGTTACTGAGGCTACTGTTTGTATTACAGTTTTTCTCAAATGCTAAAACACATTTCACAAACGTTTCCTCCATGTTCCCCAATGTCTAAACACAACACCCTTTTCTAAAGCTACATAAACACAACCACACCTTCTCACTTCAAAACTCAAACTTTCACACCAAAAGAGCAGCTCGAAGCTTTCAAAAATGTAAACACTATACACATCATTACACACTACAGCAAAACAATTGAAAACACAATGCTCAATTTGTGAGAAGGTTCTTTGTTTCATAACTGCCAATGCATATTTTTAGAAACTTTACAGTAATGGATCTTCTTAGATCTCTGCAGAGGATTAGGCATTTAGATTTGTGAGTTTCATATGAAGAGTATAAATTCTGCATGTACACTACTGTAACACAACTCAATGCAAAAACAGAATCTATTGCACACAACAGTACTCTTGAAAACATGATCAGGGTGTGAAGTTTTTTATTTACTTTATTCACACCACACACACACCACAATCACTGTGCGGCATCGGGCCACATCACAGGCTATATTGTCTCTTGCCAGGCACCGTGGGAAAAACGCCCTGGAATGGCGAATCCATCCTTCGAAGGCCTCCACTGGGATGTCAACACAGGCCAGCTCCATTGCCCTTAGGAGGTTCTCTCTAGTGTATGGTTGTCTGTCATAAACCTTCCATCTCCACGATGAGAAGAACTCCTCTATAGGGTTCAGGAAAGGGGAGTAGGGTGGCAGACAGACGTTTAAAAAGTGGTTACTGTTGGTGGTGAACCACTCTCTGATTTGGTTTGTTCTGTGAAAGCGTACATTGTCCCAAATGATCACATAAATGCTCCTCTAGGAAGGTGAGGAGACGTTGGGTGTTGTAAGACCCAAGGACAGCATGCCGGTGGACAAGCCCCTCCAAACCCATGGCCGCACAAAGAGTAATATTACCCCCCCCCGTTGGCCAGGAACCTCAGTGATGGCTCTTTGGCCAATGATGTTACGGCCTCTTTGCCTTCGTTTCTGCAGGTTGAAGCCAGCCTAATCCAGGAAGAGTACTGATGAGGTCTAGCCATCGCGTCCAACTGTAATATCCTCTGTGAAAATGTGAAAGTGCACAGGTGTTCAGAACAACAGTCAATCAGGTAGCACAGTATTGTCCAGAAGTACTGTAGGCCACTGAGCAACACAGTATGTCCACTAACTGTACTGTGAACATGGATGTATACTTACTTGCACATACTTGTAACGTAGGTCTTTGTGTCGCGCAGAGTTGCGCTCAAAGGGAACCCTATAGACCTGTTTCATCCGCATCTTTTGGCGCTGGAGAACTCGGTCTATTGTGGCCAAGCTGACATCATCAATGCTCTCAAAGTTGACATTATCGGCAATGACTTTGTCTCTGATCTCCCGGAGTCTAATGAGGTTGTTCTCACGAACCATATCCACAATGAGGGTTTCTTGTGCCACTGTAAATATGGCAACCCTCCCACCTCTATGTGGCATTCTTTCAACTCTAAAGAAAGAAACATGTGTTGACAATACCTGTTGTGTTGTCTGAATGCCCTGATAATGGTGGCCACGGTGAACCTACTCAGGTTTGGACGGACTCTTAGTCCTGCTTCAGCCATTGTCATGCCATGGACAATGACATGGTCAATGACTGTTGCTCGCATCTCGTCCGTAATGATGGTGCGAGGTTGTCTTGCTCTCCCTCCTGGACCTTCTCCTCTTCCTCGTTGGCCTGCTCCTCTTCTTCCATGGCCAGCTCTTCTCCCTCCTCTGACTCGAATTCCTCTTCCCCTGACTCTGCCTTCATCCATTGTGTTTGTTTGTAATCTTCAGCAAACTGTGCACTCTGAACTTGCTTTTATACATGTGGTCACAGCATTAGCAACAAGTGTCTTCAATTTTGAGTCGTTGTGTGTAATGAATGACGCCAGGTGTGTTCATTGTGTTCAAATATTGCTGACTGTGGCAAGCATTTTGCATCACATGAGCTTTCATTTGAGAATATGAGCAGAGTTCTTTTGCAACTTGTGTTTTAGCAAGGAAAAATGTGTTAAGATTTATGAGAACGGAGGATTGTGTTTTGTGAATTGTGTCTTCATGTGAAATGTGTTTATGATATTGGAAAATGATGGCTAGATTTTGTAAATGTGTTTAGACAACTGGTCATTTGATTTAGAGGATTGGCTTTTGTGTTTTAGCATTTGAGAAAAACTGTATTGCTTAACACAATTTTCATGATTTCAATTAAATTCTTGGATTTAATTTCAATCTTGATTCAATATTGACTCATTTGGATAAATATTAGGTAGGCTACAGTAGATAGCCTGCATTTAAATGTTTCTCAAGAAAAAATATATCTCACATAATGCTGTAAACATACAGAGAGAAATTAAATATAATGCATACAATATAAATATAATAATAATATAAATATAAAAATGTAATATGCCGTAATTTTCATTATAATAACAATTATATAATGACAAGTAAACATATATTAAAATATGTAATATAGTGCACATATTTAGCAAAACACTCCTCTCTATAGCTATTTTCTTATAGTCAACTAACATTAAATGGCTTTCCTGAGGTAAATGTAACGTTCTGTGACATAATTGTTCTCCTGCAGTGTTATTGACCTCTTTCCGTGGTTGAAAAACACTGATTGATCGAAAGTACGTACCTTTCGGTGGGTTGTACTGTATCTTTAATAAAAAGTAACAGATGATCGGTTTACTTGAACTGAGGCGCGCGATCTGTCACGTCACATTTACAAGCACCAAAACAGTATTTATTGTCTGAATTTCGTTATAAAACCTGAGAGCTGATATTTTTTTCATATCAAAAGTAACCTGCTCTGTCTAGTCTGTCGGTGTCAGTGTCCTCTTTGCTCCGCGATTTTTCTCTGGGTGAGAAAATGGATGTGTGGCGCGAGACCGTGTGAAAGTGTCAATTGCGTGAGTCTCAAGCTGAATGCGTGAGAGTTGGCAGCCATGCGGGGGATAAATAGTCGGCAGCGTTCCTCCTTCCGCCGTGCTTCTTCTCCATGTGAGGATTGTTTACATTAGACTAGAGTGCGCACTGCATGCACACAGTGCTTATACATGTGATGTGGGGATTGTTTACATCAAAGTGCACATGTGTTTTGCGCAGCATATACGCATTGTTTTTTAAGCGGTTGATGGAAAATAAGCTGATGCGCGTTCTAAAAATCTATATTCGGATCTATTATTTTTCACGGTATTTCGAAGTCCCCGCGATAACAATATCGTGCATATTCATTACCGCGATTTATCGCATTACCGAATACCGGCACATGTCTACACCCAATGTAATACCAAATTTAGCATTTTAATCAACAGTATATATATATATATATATATATATATATATATATATATTTTTTTTTGTGATCAATTATTTATTTGTTTTCTTACAATCATCATTTACACATTGGAGAGGAAACGTCTTCACAAGAGAGAAATAGACTGATTACGCCATCATTATATAACAGAGGCACAAAATGTTGCTTATTCTGATGCCAGTTTCTCTTCTCCTCCCCATATCCTACCCAGCCCAAACCCACCCTCCAACCCTTAACTAGATTCGCTCAAGGTATTGAGCAGAAAAAAAAAAAAAAAAAAAAAAACCTCAACACTCACACACACATACACCTCAACCCTTTCCCATTGCCACCCGTCCATCCTTCCTCCATCATTATGATATCCACAGAGATCCGCATAACAGAACACAGAGCAGGACATTGGACATTGAAAATATCAGGCACAATCCTGACCTCTTCCTTCTTATTATAGAATCCACAAAGGTCAATACAATATTCTGAATAATAATTACGTAACAGAACTAAACATTACATATTGTATGCATTAGATGCAAATTCCACAAAAAAAAAAAAAAGTATATTTTTTGTTAACCTTTTACTATATGTCTTGGAGTATCGCAATAATATATCGTGAGTTCAGTATCATGATATGTATCAAATCGTGACATTAGGGTATCGTTACACCCCTAGAGTAAAGTGCCCGGAAAAATCCTCAACAACACACGATTTGAGCAATAATTTAGCCTATGTCTGGAGCACAAAAACTGCGGGACGACACACACTCAACTTTAATATGTTAAATGTTAGGTTTGTTCAAATCCCTATGAGCACCAGCACTAGGATGCTTACCTTAGAAAACATGACAAGTTAAAGGATGAATGAAATGAACTGAATGAGAGAAAGAGTGCAAGATGTTGAGTGCAGGTTTAATAGCTGGAAGTCAATCTTAGATTCTGTTACACACACACACACACACACATTCAACCCGCCTTCCTGTTGTGCGTCTCATCCATGGTCTCATCCCTTCCCATCCTCCCTCTCTCTCTCTCTCTCTCTCTCTCTCTCTCTCTCTCTCTCTCTCTCTCTCTCTCTCTCTCTCTCTCTCTCTCTCTCTCTCTCTCTCTCTCTCTCGTGTCACGTGTGCAGGTCTGTGAATCGCAGCAGCGGCTTTGTGCGTTTCTTTCTGTGTGAGCGAGAGAGAGGCTCAGGGCTGCACTCCTCTAAGGGCTTCTCGTACTCTCTCTCAGCACACATTCACACACGCACACGCGTTCATCCAGACAGGGGGCTTTCACCATCCCAGACACACCGTCTGCTGCCCAGCGGAGCACTGCGACTTCCGTCTGCGAGAGCCTGGCGGAGAGGAGGGGATTTTTTACCCAGGATTCTTCCGTGATTTGCAACAGCATGAGCCCCGCCGTGCCAGACTTCATTCCAAGGTTGAGTTGAGCACAGCCGCTGCAGCAGGCGACGAGGGAGGAATGGATCGTGGAGAGAGCAGAACGTGGAACTGAGGGCTTTTCCGTTGTCAGAGGATGCTCTGTGCTTCACGGCAGGACGTTTAAGAGTTCGTTGGATGCTCCTGTGCTGTAGCGGATGGATTTTACACGCTATCGGAGAGGGTATGTATGTCTACTTCACTAAGTTAAGCTGTTGCATCTTGAACCTTAAAATGCACTTGAACGGATCATGCATTTGCTTGCTGCATCGTGTGTGCATGCATCCGTGGATCACTTTTTAACATTCTGTCATTAGACTTTGTGCGTTGTTCTGGGAAGAGGGGGCGGGGGTAAGTCCGATGCTTTCAGCCCGTTGTTGCTATCAGCGCATTTCTCTCTGATCAACATCTGGTGGCATGGTCTCGCAGGCAGAGAGGGATGATTGAATCACTCGCTGGATTATCATCGAGAGCTTTCAAATTCCTGCAGCTCTGATTTGTTGCGTTTCTCGGCTAAAGCTTGCAATAAGGGCATGCATCGCGCTCAGCATTTGTTTAATGTATGCATGCATGAATGCATGCCGGGACAGAAGCCCTGATGTGAAGTGATATCCAGCATGTTCTCGGTCAAGGGGCACCAAAGTCAGCCGTGCTCATGTTTAAAATGAATGCGATTTTTAAGGTTTAAAGAGCGTATGTAGACAGGGATCTGTGCATGCCGAGGTTTAGCGGGATAATGACTGAATGTGAGATGAGCAACGGATTGTAATTGTGTTAGTGGGTGGGGCTCTTACTCACTCTCTCGCTGTCTCTCGTCCCTCTCTCTCTCTATCTTAAATATGCATCAGGAGGGGCTGAGGTTGTCAGAGGAGTGTCTGTATGTGAGGTATGGGGTCAGAGCCCTGCGTCTACATCGGATCGATAATCCATGTCTTTTGCATCTCAAGCTCACCGCCGGCCACACATGAGATCGTCTTTCCTCGGGAGAGAGAAAGCGAGAGTAGCTAATGAGCTGCCTGTCTTTATGAAGCATTCCACAACACGCTGTCAAGCGCAATGATTGGGAGCAGCTACATAATACATGAACTAAACTAATAAATGACTGAAAAAATTAATGATAAATAAATGCACGTATACCTCGGGCAACCACCCGAGTCAGTTTCACTTTGTAGTTCCATTTGGATAGTGAAATCAGTTTTCTGAAACCCATTTTCCACACGTGGATCTGCATAAAGTTGGTTTGAGGTTTGGTTGTTGTGAATAGCACAGTTTGCAATTCACATGAATTTGTATTCTAACTTGTGGAACTGGAAAGTAAAATGTTACTGCTCAGAGGTTGCTCTTTCGTAATTCAGAACTTAAAAAAAACCTTGTTAAACTGCTTAGATGAAATAAAAATAGATACAAATTAGTTAATAAGAATCATATAGAGCTATAAAATGAATGTCGATAGCAGCATTTGTTGAGAAATTGTTGAGTTGATCAACGATCAAAACCATTGGCATAAGTAGGGTGTTGGTCATCTCTAAGAGCTTAACTCTTCTTAACTCTTCTTTCCACAAGATCTTGGATCATGTATGCAGGGTTTTGCTCCCTTTCAGAATTCAGACATGAGAGCATTACCGAATCAGTTCAGTAAACCATATCTTTATAGACTTCGCTTTGTGCACAAAGTCATTTTGAAATAATTGCATGGCTGTATGCTTTATTTTATGGTGTAGCTCAAATAGCAAGATGTGTTCATTCATTTGTAGGTTGTGTCACATACATTTGGTCAATTAGGGTATGCAGATAGGTTCGTTAGGCAGAAACACTTATTTGTCATTACCTATCCAAATAATGTGACTCTGAATCAACATGAATTTCAGTTCATGTTTCAAAAACATATTTTTCATTTACACCATATCCAGTGAAATTTGATTAGCATTTAGCACTGTAAATTAGAAGTTGATTACCTGTTGGGGTTGTGGTGGAAATACTGCAGTTACTCTAACCAGATTTAATCGTCTCATCTGTATTTTTCAGTAGATTGATTGATTGATTGAGCTCTGTAATGCTGTAATAGCTTAATAAAGAGACAGTGATTTTAGCCATTAATCACAGAAGAGCTAATAAATTAATTGGAAAAGGAAGTTAGAAACCTCTGGTCTCAGCATTTGCTTCCACTGCCCAGTTTAAACTTTTTCAGAAATGAACTTGACAAATGTCATTAGGTCCAAAGTCTTAATCATGCCGGATGCTGGAGTTTTACCAGCCAAATACTTAGTTTAATTAAAAGTATCAGAGAGTCTGGTGATTGTGACATTTGGCTTCCATGTTCTAGCTTCTGTTATTGAGTGGTTTGGTTGTGTTGAATAGACAGTAGCCTATGTGTGGCAGATGAGTGAATTTTTTCCTATAGTTTTTAAAAATTTAGAGTTTGTTTTAAATTGTGACATTTTCAATACAATTAAGGTCCTCAGTTTTTTTTAACTGAAAGACTGTATTTATTTTCATGAAAAATTATGCAAAAAATCTTTAATTTTATTTAAATGAAAAAGGTAATTATATAGTGTTAGGATTGAGCACTACAGAAAATATTTTGCGTCTTGTTTTTAGAAACATTACAGATCAGATCAGATGTTTTCAAAGAATTTTGATCTTGAAATGATCTTGAAAATAAAATGTTTTGCAGTTTTGTTTCTTGGGCTAGCCTATGCATAAAATCCAAGAAAATATATTGAGATTTATGATTAAAACAAGAAGAAAAAACGGGATTGTTTTCACCAGCGGGGGACAAATTAAACCTAATTGAAGATTCAAAATTCTCCCAAAAATAAGCCTTTTTAAAATCTTATTTACATAATTTTACCTGATAAGCATACATATCTTGTTGTAAGGATGTTTAGATATTTTGAGTAAAAAAAAAGACAAAAGTAGGCCTAGATGGTCAAATTATGTGTAATGGGGTCAATAATGTTTGAGTGAGTGTACAAGCTTTGTTTGGTTATAATTACATTAGTGAAATGAAAGCTTCTTTAGAAGGTGTATGTGTATATGTGTGTGTGTGTGTGTTAGAGCCCGAACGATATATCGGCGCGCCGATATTATCGGCCGATATTAGGCATTTTCCTAACTAACGGTATCGGCCTTTATAATGGCCGATAAATTAAAGCTGCTGTCCGTAACTTTTTTCAAATTAAAAATAATCCAAAATAATTATTAAAAAAAAAACATATTCTGCCAGTGGTCAAAACTATCTGCTTGCCGTAGCTCGATTCAAAACGGTTAGCTTGTAATAATGATTTTAATTCCAGTGGTACTGGTGGGTTTCCGCGGGAAATTCGAGCATGTCTTTGCGTCATTACGTCACATCCGTACACATAAAGAAGGAGTTTCGGCTAGCTATACTGCGCGTGAGGATGTTGACGTTGGGGAGAGTAGAGATGCCTTTTCTCGCAGCACTTTACATAATCGAACTTATGGCGGATCCAGAAAGATCCAAACGACAATCATCAGTGTCAACTGGAGATTCACCAGTTATAAAACCCAAAAGACTTCGTTCTTCGGATTTAAAGTGGCTAGAGAAAGACAGCAAGCGTCTCATGTGAACACAAGGAACATAGGCAGGGCGTTTGGTGCGTTAACTCCGTGTTTTGAAGGGGTTCAAAACGGAAGAAGAGACGCTTTTTTCTGCTGGACAAGTAAGACATTTCAATAGTTCAATCGTGTAACAGTACCACAATTGTTTGCTTAATTCACACAGTTATGGAGTTTCCTTTGTTGTGCCTTTCTCGTTTAGCTATTATGGAGAATATGAATTCTGAACTACAGGTAACCATAAAACACATTAAATGTAGTCACGCAAAGCTGATGTTGTTAACATTAACAATTTGAGAACAAAGTATAATTTGCACGGTTCGACATGATAAGCGATCGTTAGATTTAATCAGCGCGATTTACTGCAGTGCAATCAATGCATTTTCCCCGTAGTTGATCTGAACAAAAGTGAATGTTACTTACTTGTTCAGATGACATTTTCTGGTGAAAATTCTTATGTTGGTCATCCTGTACTTCCAAAAAGTAGAATGTGTGATTCTGAATGCCAGTATCCACACCGGCGCTGTGACCGACAGCCTCGACGCGCACTCTCCTCACAACATTGTGTTCATCCGCGCTGTTTCATGCCGATGTACAACTCACGTAAAATTAATAATTCCGCGAATGACTGCAATTGCAGACTTCAAACAGAGATGGCGACAAAGAGGAAAAGCTACGGACTGCAGCTTTAATATTTTTAAAAATGCGGGTGCGGTGATTCATGTAAAGGTGGCGCTGCCAATAAAGCACATAAAAGCTGTCACAAAGAACTGGCAAAAGTAATGATTGTGAATACATCAAATATAGCAAGGAGACATTTTAATTTTTTATTAATAAACAAATGTTTTCAGTCAGTGTCGCTGCAAAGTTGACGACGCTGACTCGCGATCTTCAGTGAACAGGCCAGAGAGAAATACACATTTCATACGGATTACAGCAGAGAGCAGTCTGTCTTTCGTTTTGAATTGTTCTGTTTAAAAGTAGACAATTTAATATAGATATATTTCTGCTGAGTTTTGGTTAATTTATAAGACGAGTTGCAGTTCACGCGCCGGCCGGCACCTCCGTGTCGAGATGATCTATTGTCTGCTATATTTACATTAAATCCAGGCAATTGGTTGATGAAACATTGATTAAAGATACAATTAATACAAAACGAAATTCACTTTAATGAAAGGCTTTGTGCTTTCTGTTTTTAGGGCTCTGTGAGAGTTTTAAAGTCGTTTAGTGCCGCTTTCAGAATTGTCACATCCGTTGTTTTTTCCTCATAAATGCGAACACGAAAAATAAAATAAAATGAATATTTTATGTTCTGTTGAGAGCCAACCCTTCTTCATCCGGTGGGTAGTAGCCTATTACTTTTGATTTGCGCAGTGTAATTCACAGAATTGATTTCTCTGCTACCAGCCTCTGTCACGTATTGTGTGAGCTTGTGATGATGACTAGGGAAAGCGCGCAGCTGAGAAGTCCTGATTATATTGTCTGCTATATTTACTTCTTATGTATTAAATCCAGGCAATTGGTTGATGAAACATTGATTAAAATGCGTTGCGCGAGCGTCATATCTCCGACAGTAAACTGATGCCCCATTCTGCTTTGTAACGGGCGCTTCTTCGCGTCTCGGGTAAACAGCTGTTGCGAGGCGAGCAGTAACGGCCGCGTCCGGTGTAGACAGTGTTAAAGCTCATTCTGCCTAACGCTACGTTACACAAGCAATACTTTATATAATTATAACACTATGTTTCACGTTTAGTACATTTTGCTTACTACTTATTTAAAAATAGTATAAAAGTACTGTACATATGTAATTAAAAACATTTTCATTATGATATTATTAATTTTACTTTAGTAAAAAGATCTCCACTGGTAGAGATTAGAGGAATTAAGACTAAAAATAGAAGATAATATTTTACATTAAATTAATACATGATTAACTAACTGTATTTTTTCTATGTACATTTCTGAAATGCACTTTCTGTAAAGCTGCTTTGAAACAATATGCATTGTGAAAAGCGCTATACAAATACATTTGAATTGAATTGAATAATAAGGTTTTGTCAGTGACACTTTTGATATATTTATTGATATGTTATGTTTTATATAACGTGACTAAATTAAAAGACAAAGTCGTTAGTGAAGATTATGCAACAGTATTTAGAATATAATATAACATGCAATGCAAACTAGTTTGGTTACAGCTCAAATGTATCATTCTCAATCTATCATTCACCCTGTCTCCATTACATATCTTTGTCACACAAGTGTTTGATTACCACATTTGAGTGATCATTGCAAAACGTTTATATA